GTCTGATTATCTCTATGCTATATGCAAAATAAGTCTAAAATTACATAAATTAATGAAGCCTAAAGCACTCACAACTGTTATATTTCTAAACAAAGTTATGTAGCCGTAGCTAAGAATAAATAGCATAGAAAAAGGCCAGGAATTCACTGTAGAACACCTTAAAATAAACACTAGTAACAAAAGCAGAAGTAGGATATCTTTTCTTTTAATTCACCCTAAAATATTAATTCACCCTCAAATAAAAAGAATTGACATTTACTTCCACACCAGATTCTCCATTAGTGAGGCTCTTCCATTGCACTCCGATTGACCTTTGTGATCGACCCAAATGTCAGCGACTCGGGTGCTCTGTTTCTAAATGTGAGGGTCTCCGTCCACGCTCACCCCGTTAAACAAGCAAAAAACAGAATTTCTTATTTTTTTTTAAATTGTAAAAAATTTCTTGTAAGTACCTCGAATATTATCCGCATTTACGAAATGTGAATAACTCTCTGATTTTTGGTAATTTTTCATTCTGAAGATTGGAATTGTTGCAAAGCAAGCTAAAAAAATTTTGATTTAAAGTCTATAATTTCAAAAAAGTAAATAAAACAAACTTTGATCTAAAATTTCTTGGGGTCAGTAAATATTAGCGATAAGTAGCTTTACATTATTTGGGCTGAATTAACAGGAAAGATCCGAAGTAGGTATTCCGAGGGAAGAAAGACAAGAAAGCAATGGAAAAAAAAAGAAAAAAAATATTAAATTTTTAATCTAATGAAAGACCGAAAGCGAAACAGATGATAATACCAAAGAGGTTTCAGAATATTTGGCAAATATCTTAAATAAATGTAGACGATGAGAATAGAAATAATTCATTGAGAAAGGTGCAACGATCGAAAAACTTTAGCACACATATGTAAGAGGTATGCCTCAAAAGATGAAAGAAATAAAAGGATACTAAACGTAATCTTCGTCAGGATATATAAAATAAAAAAGAGGATAATTTTAATAGAGAAAAAGAAAAGGGTACTACAGATTGAGAATGAATCTATAGTATAACTTTTTAATTACTAAGTGAAAAAAACTACAATACATCGTCCTGGGTAAGGCGAGAAACTACATCCGCGTTCTGGGTAAGACGATAAACTATATCCGCGTCCTGGATAAGACGATAAACTACATCCGCGTCCTGGGTAAGACGATAAACTATATCCGCGTTCTGGGTAATACGATGAACTACATCCGACAGCAAGGTTCAGGAGGTTTTAAGAAGCGTGGAACGATCTCTTAATTGTTAGTGTTCCTAGGTGGTGGGGTGGTAGCACCTGTTAGGGTACCAGCTATGGGCAAATATTTACACCCCCCCCAAAGGAGTCAAAACACTATGGAAGTATAAAAATATATTTTAATACCATCAATAATTTTTTGGAAAAAATATTACCAGCAATAAAAAATCTTGTCGGCATTAAATAACGCATTGAGGTTGGTATGTCGTAAAACAAACCAAACCAAACCAAACTAGAATACATAAAATGATGACATCTGTGGTTCCGTCAGCAACAGACGAGACGAAATGGAATAAAATCAGCAGGGACAAATATTGTTACAGAAATGCAGACAACCATAGCTGATTTGGAGATTGACAAAGTTCTTTTTTTCTGCGCCAGATTCTTTTGAGGCGTAGGCGATAGTGACCCGAAACAGCTTTTTGTTTTTGTATTGCTTTAATTAACTTTTAAACATTTTTTTCATTCTTTTTGTCCTTATTCTTTCGTCCATACACACAAACTTGTTAAGTAGGTTAAATAATGTTTCCCCACTTTTTCTTGACTTCAGTAGGCTCCGAGAAAGTTCTCAAGACCCTCTTTCTTTGTTATGCGCTCCAGAATTTTCAGTTCGCATATAACTTTCTTTGTTGTTCCTATTTTCATTAGCACATAATCGTTGCTTAAACGCTCTTTTCGTGGTAATCTTAGCATTCGTCGGTAAAACCAAATCTCTGTCGCTTCAAGTCTCTTCTTAATCTGCGTGTAGACTGTCCAGCATTCACTAGAAAAGAGAAAATTAGATAATATATAACAGTTCAGCACTATTTTCTTTTTTTTTCCTAACAATATTTTTCTATATCTTAATATTTTGCTTAGTTTCTCGAAGACATCTTTTCCTATTCCAATATGGCTTTGGTTTTCTATGAACACGATCTGCTGTCTGTTTTGAAACTATCCAGATCGTTGAATTTATGTATCTGCTTGATTTTGGCGTACCCAATATATAACGCAAAAATCGAGCGTTTTGCTGATGACCATCCCCGACACACACACACACACACAAATATATATATATATATATATATATATATATATATATATATATATACACATGAATATAATGGTGAAGGCTTTGTGCAGAGCCAACAGCACTTTTTGAATGCAGAGACATGGTGCACCCTGCGCAGGTTTTGAATTCAGAGTTTTCCTTCTCCTAGACATCTTGCCCTCCAAGTCTTCCTGCTATTTACAGGGGGTGGACGGAGAAGAAAAGGATTCATACCTTTCGCAAGAAGGGTATTAGCACATAAGTAAATGTAATGGATTCGACTGGAATATATATATATATATATATATATATATATATATATATATATATATATATATATAGATAGATAGATAGATAGATATGCAGAATATTTTCATTCAAGCAATAAATGTCTATTTATTTTAGATTTAATCCTTTCAAGTCCACGAATTAATTTCTTGGTGGCTGTAGGAATAATTCTAAAATTTTCTTTCAAATATTTTTTTAATTTCCCAAGTACTTTCAATGTCACGTGTGACCATCTTCAGGGATTGCCTATCTATGGATGTATTATGTGTTAACAACTTAAATTCAAAATATTTTTTACCTCTATACAGGGAAGTTAAATTACGTTATTTTTTTAAAAAGATTTTTAATTGTAGTATTTTAATTTAGTATTTGTTATATAACATTTTACTGCTACAAACATTTAAAAACTTTGTTGCTATACTTGTAGTTGACTTTATTTATTTTTGGCCACAATTCTCTTATATAAAGGGCTTCCATAATTTTAAGTATTTGTCAATTATTATCTTGCTGAAGCTCTGATATATTTTCGACTAATATCTGTCTAGAGTGTTTATGTTGACATGAATGTTTCTTTAAATGTTCTGAGATTGAACTATGATCGGTCAAGTGAGATGTAAGTCTTCTCGTCATCGTCGTTTTCGTAAGACCAGCACACGTATCAATTCGTGGACTTGAAAGGATTAAAACTAATATATATATATATATATATATATATATATATATATATATATATATATATAAATATAAACGGATATTGAAGTCCACGCTCACAGATGACAGTCTGTTTCATGCTAAACGTAATCACCATGATAATTGCTTTTAGCATGAAACAGAATGTCGTTTAGTTTGAAACAGATTGTTGCCTATGGGCGTCGACTTCATTGTCTACTTTTACGTTTATATTTACATATGCTCTATCCCTGATATTAAGCACTTTAACCCGTAAATATAGCATACATTAAAACCATATTTTATCATATATATATATATATATATATATATATATATATATATATATATATATATATTAAAGAAAAACAGACCACTTTTTAAGGTTCCATTATAATAATTTATTTCACCAGAGCCCTTTTAAGGGACGCTGGATCATCAGATAACACTTACAAAAATGAAACGAAAGATTAAATGAAAATTCACACTTTTGACGGGTAGTATTAAGTTTATGTAATTCAACAGAGAGGGTAGCGAGCAGTGGTGTGAGAGACATGGTCGAGGTTTAGAGAGGGTTTATTTTAATATTTCTTTCAATCATATTTAGTATTGGCGGAGGAGGGACCAGACCAGACCATGACCTATTTAAACGGTTACCTTAACGGAAGTGATATATTGAAATGGGAGGGGAAAAGAGAGAAAAAGAAAAAAGAAAGAAGGGGGAAATAAAGAGACAGAAGCTGTCATTAAGTTTTACGTGGGAAAAAGAGGGGTGGTATATTTTTAGCAATTTATGATGAAAACGTGATTCGGAAAAAACATCTTTCTCCTTTGAAATATTCACTTAGTCTCTCTCTTTAAAAAATAGACAAGGAGAGAAAGAGAGAGAGAGAGACTAAGTGAATATTTCAAAGCAGAAAGATATTTTCCGGATCACGTTTTCATTCTCGAGTGTAAGCAGACTATCGCTCTTTCATTTTAAAAGCTGTTGACGAGTTTATCTGTTACGTAAATTTTCCAATTGTCCTTCTGACGCTTGTACGCATGACTTATTTTTTGATTGTTAAAAAGGCAGATGAAGTGGGGAGGGATGTCAGACATGCAATGAAAAAGCCACGAATCTGAATGTCTGCCAACAATATTGGCGGCATGTGGGGGTGGATGTGTTACCATAAGAGCTCATGAGTAAATACGTATGAGTAAGGTGACCGTGGACACAAGTCGATTTTTTTTCCATTTATAAATACAATGAGAAAACGCTGGAAAGACATAATTAACATTTTAAGCACCATTCTTTATTTTGTGTGTATGGGGGGGGGCATCGATATCCGCAGAACTTAAAACGATTTCGTAGTTACTTATTTTAGGGCATCATTTTACTCACATTTATTGCCACCTGACGTAAATAACGGTCATTGCATTATGTAAAGAAATTAGCTGTAAATATTCACCAGTGCTTTTTATAGCAATCTGTCAGTTATATTATAGCTAAGGCTTTCTGCATTTATATAAGTAGCGAAGTAATCGTTCTAAGTAACGCGATTAATCGAAATAAGTGCTGCGTAATTTGTTGCAATTTTTTTTCTTTTTTACGTGTGAACGTCAATTATAGAAAATTAGAGATTCCTCAAAGATAAAATAGTATCATTGGCAAATCACGTACGGAGGACAAAATGAAGTCAATGCGCGAATTTCAATAAAGGGGATATTATGTAATTAATGTAGCTCGACGCGAAACAGCTACA